TAACTTTTTCATGGTTAGCTTGTTCAAGTCCATATAATTTATGTACATTCGATGTGAACCATCCTTCTTCTTGACAAAAATTATTACTCCACCCCATAGTGAACTACTCGATCTGATAAACTCCTTTCCCAACAGCTCCTTACGTTGTAAGGATAATTTGTATCTTGGGCGATGCAAAGCGATATAGCGCCTTGCTACTCGGGGATGCACTAGGATCAGGTTGATCCTCAACTCAACTTGCCTAACTGGAGTCAAACTAGAAAAAAACTTAGGGAATATATCTAGGACCTTTAAGTGTATATAATTTCATATCTCTCATGAGATTGTCTCTTAAGACATGAACTCATTCATGTGAAGTTGTATCTAGTGAATGTTATTGTTTCATTAAGTCATTAAAGAAAATGACAATTCATATTAATGAGAATAGATTATTTAACTATAAAATTTTCACAAAATTCATTAATGAAAGTAAAAAAACTCATTAAGTCATTAAAGAAAATAACAAAATTCAATTTTAATACCAGCTATTAAGTTTGACTCCATTTGAACATTTAATATGTTTAATAAAACTTCCTTTTATTACTTATATATTTAGAGTTTGTATAAGGTACACAAATCACCATTTTAAAACTTGTAATTAAGTATTTCATAATTTTCCGTTATTAATGGTTTTATAAAAGTGAATATAATTTTAAACAATAACTTGTTACATTTTATGTCCACATTATAAATTTTGAAAACCAAACTCCATGTGATGTTTATTTTGTCGAAAATTATTTTAGCATGTGAAAAACTAATTTATGAACCACACATAATAATTGCATAAAATATACAACACAAACATGCATAAAAATGTGCATAAACATAACCAACTAATGACATTTTTGTTAGCCAACGCAAAAATGTCAAGTCCATTCCTAAATGGACATTTTAAGGGACGAAAAAGTCTTCTTGTAATGTTATTGTAGGAGCTCCCACTTGAGAAAACACCCATTGCATGCAAAATATTGGAAAAGCCTATTGGAATCAATATTTCAGCAATTGTCGCTAAAAGTCTATCTACCCTTAAGAAACAACATTAGTGACACTTTTCAGAAACTGACACTAACTTTCAGCATGCTCTTAAACTCAAAAATTGCTCTTTGGTGGTAAAAAAATGGCTCACACTTTATTTCTTGTTACATTTTTGTACAAATAAATTATTTCTAACAACTAATATATTATTTACAAAAATAAACCAAGAAAACTAACCTATTTAATTTATTACATACCATATGAATAAAAAAATTATTACAACCATTTTTATAATAAATACACCAAACACAACAACACATCAACCATAATGTTCATTGGTTAGTTTATACACATCATACATATCAACATATACATTAGACAACCTTTGTTTTTCTAAGATAACTTTAAATGACAAAAGATGCATGAAACTTTTGTCACATAAAAAGTAACAATTATAAAGTTGTCATAGGAAATATGTATGAACTTGTTTTTATACAAAACCAAGTTATCGATATTCTCCAAAAACTAAGATTTCTAAAAATAAAAAATCTAACCGAACTTGAAAAATGGATCTTGATACAAATTTTTGGGTTTTTATTCAAAACTTAGTTTCAAAAACATGATTTTAGGCAATAGAAGACTTGATAATTTTAAATAACATAAAACAAGTTTAACCCAACATGGATAATCTTACAAGTTGTAGAAAGATTAAACACCAACCAAAGAAGAGATGAAGAAATAACAATATTTGTAGTTCTTTAGATTGTCTTGGGAGGCTTGGAAGTTGATGAAGAATGATGAACTTTAGAGATACCAACAATATATCAACTTGATGTGGAGTGCTAGTTCTTTTATATAAAACAATTAAGACTATTTTCATAAAGTTAATATGTGGTCCAAAAGTCCTTAACACTTTAAGAACTCATGCACCTAAAGCCTAAGTGTTCCCATGCTTTTAGGTCATGTATTCTTTTGATTAAATAAATCAAACAATCATTCTTTGTTTCTTCTTCCATATTTTCAAATTTTAGAAGACAAAAGAGGAAAAAACCATTATTTTTTATAACACAAGATTATAAAATATAAACTTTAAATTTTTGGTAAAAGACAAAAGAATTCATCAAGTCCAAAATATTGTGCATGACTTATTAATCCATACCGTATGAATTATTTAATGTTACTTGCTAATAAAAATTATTATTTCCAAGAAATAAATAATTTCCAATTAATTATAAGAGGTATTTGAATATTTACGAAAATCAATTTCCAATAAATAATCAATTAAATCATGTTGTTATTAGTGTGACCCATTAGTAAGTTAGCAATATCACTTTAATATGATTCTTGAGCATACATTATCTTTCACACACACACACACACACACACACACACACATATATATATATATAATATATATATATATATACTCATCTAACATGTAAGCTGTTATACATGATAGGCAACTAACTATGCTAGTCTAGTAGCCTAAATTTATACTACAAGATAACTATATCCTAGCATACAAAGAACACATATTGTAGTATACAATATAGTGAGGAGAACTCACCTGGACAATTTCTCAAAGGTTTAGCCGTTAACCGGACAATTCAACTGGCGAGAAACACCCCAATGAGCATTTACCAATATTACTTTAGTTTATTAGTTTCTATGTGAATCTTGTAATCAAAGGTTGGATCCTTTACTAATCCCAATGAACACTAAGAGTTCTATCAAGTAAGGATCAACCAAACAACACAGTTAGGAGGTAAGACCTTTATAGAGTATAGCTTTCTGAAATCCAACAACCAAGCCAAGATGACCATTCTATGCTCCTCTCCCACAAGTAGAACAACTAGTATTATAACTAGAATAACTCATAAATCTTATTTAAATACTCATAATAACAACCATGAATATTAACATAAGTTACACTTAAAGCATAGTAAGTCTACCATAACTTCTAGAGAGTTCCTAGCGAAAATCATGATTTCCGCTGGTAGGGCTTCGATACCGCGCACTCCTATAAGTTGGGAAATCCTATGATTCAGTATCTTACTAATTAGATTCTTCAGGACCCTGAAAATACCTTAGAAGTTCGGTTCTACAGAGAGAATTTGAAGGATTTGGTATGGTGAAAGAAGGAACAAATGAGAGCTATATATATGGGTTTTCTGGGAAGGCACTCTGCACAATCTTAATAGGCACTCTGCACACTTAGGTGGTGTCGGAGGTTGCCATGTGTCATTTGCTCAATGGTCTATGTTTTTTCTTCTAGAATTTGCGTGCGCCGCATGCTACGCGCAATGCAAAACACTAATTTTGAAAATCCCATAAATTCTTCATACTAGCTACGTTTTGTTGTTCTTTTATATCCACACATAGCTATCAATAAGATCTACAATGGTTTTTAGACTCGATCAGATAATTCACAACTTATTTTAAATTTATTATTTTAGAAGGCTTAGACTATTAAACTTTGTTTAAAAATCACATGTCTTTTGTACGACATCCATTCTTGACTATCTTTATATCGACGAAATTGTATCCACGAGATCTGCAATTCTGGTTTAGATTGTTTTGGCTAACAATCAAATGATCTTGATTTCGGTTTCTCTGTTGCACACTATTGTGTTGAAATTTCTAAAAATCGTAACTTCCTCATACAAAGTCAGATTTGGACATTCTCTATACGTACACTATCGGTTTTATGATTTCTATGATTTTTTTATATATTTATTAGGCTAATAAGCAACATATCTAAAATTCCTTTTTATGACACGTATCGTGTTTAATCACGAAACTTTGAAGAAGCATAATCTCTTCATAGGAATTCAGCTTTAAGCGTTCTGTATATATCTACAGAAATTGTATTAATGTTTTCCATATGTTTATGATGATTATTTTGGCTCAAAAGTAATATATTTATACTTTGTATTTCATAATAATTGCTTATTATTACAGTCTAAGAAAGTAGTAAAAATGGGGTGTTACACTAACCTTTCTATATATAGGCCTGTGAGGAAAGTCGGAAAGGAGTATGTCTAAGTCAACAAGAAAGCTTGGAACTCAAACGTAAAGTAATTTGTGAAATACAAACCCTTAAGAATGCATATGAAAAGTGAAGACTTTATAACAATGAAATCAACTACAAACTAGACATGTATAAACTCGACATAATACAAAATATGATCTAAAACTTAACAATATCCCCTTTGTGTCAAGTTGAAAATATTTTCTTCACATCTTCTCATCAATTTCCTTTGTAATTGTCTTCAACAACACCATACGAACAGTCACCTACAACCTTATCATATCCGAAAAATACTTCTCATCACTTGAAGTATTCAACTAGCAAACTTCAACTCTTGAAAGAACATTAGGGAGAGGCATTGTTGGAAATAAGTGTTTATCTCACAAGAACATCATACAATTTTACATAACTCCTTTCTCCATTGTTTTGTAAACCACTCCTCATGGCTCCTTTTGAGTATATCCAACCTTAAGATTCTTTGATCCTTCAAGTAATGGGAATCGTGGTTTTCAATTAAAAACATTTACAATTTCCACATCCATCTTTGATATTTCTTGAATATAGCCCCTTATAATTCTTCTTAGAATCTGAGAAATAAGCGCATACTTAATTGGATCTCTAGAAACGATATTGAGAAGAACAATCCAGTCATATGGATTCATTAGTGGAAGATCAAAAAGTGTAAAGTTAAAAGCTTCATGAATAACTCTTATGTACCCTTCGAAAGTTATGTTCGCTAATCCTTCAGCTTCAAAAGGTTTCCCAACCTTTAGACCAGAAATTCTTTTCAAGCTCTAAATTTCAAATTCAGGTCTTGACTGCTTTGCTTAGAAATTGAATAATTTCTTATTTGTTGGTCCATTTCCTAAAGGAATATCTACAACTGTATCCAAACTCCAAAATACACAAGCTCTAGCAGTCATTAGGAGATCCAATTGACAACCAGGATCAATTTTCACCAAAAAGATGTATTTGGTTCCAACCAAAATGGATTCACTTTCTTAATCGTATCTTTATCCATTCGATCAATAGTCCATTCAGGAAATAATGTTCTTTTAGATGGTTCAATCTTAACAGAATTTTGTTTCTCAGCTTCCAGTTGATCAAGAGTTTTGTTAAGAGCTTTTAAGTCATCAAGCTCATTGTGTCGCACAACTTGAGCTTTTCTCTCTTCCTTAGTGAGTATAAGATTAATCTTTTCATCAGAAATAATGCTCATTTTTCCTTTCCTGAACTAGAAGTCACATTAACCTTCTGCCTATTGCTTTATTTTCCCCTAAAATCCTTCAATTTATTATCCATAGTTTGGTTTTCAAGAACTATCTTCGTAGCAACATCAAACATCTCCATACTCCAAGCCTGATAAGGATTTTTAATATTGACCGTCAGAGTTGGTTTTTCAGAAGATGAAATTTCAGCACCAATAGGCACTTCAGTATTAACATGTTGAACTCCCTATTCTCCTTGTTGTGAAGTAGAAACGCTAGTCGTTACCTTAGAGAGCTGATTAAACTTGGTAAAAATAGGATTGAGTTTCGCATCCATGAGTTGTAAAATGTAATCAACATATGGAGCATCTTTTCTTTAATAATCTTCACAAAAAATTGACTGGTCTTAAAAAAAATTCTTTTCACTACCAAAAGCTCTTCATTCATTTTTTCATTGACACAAGAACCAACATCTAATGTTTCATTAAGAACTTTCATCTTCTGTGTCTTCTTAGTAAATACATCCAAAAGTTTGTTTTCACCTTCCAAATTTGTTTGGAATGACATAACAGAATTGGAAATAGAAGTATGATGATCATCATTGTCTTTTTAAATCCCAAAGCAAATTCTAGAAAGAGATTTCTTCTCACTATTAAGGAAATCACGAAACCCCTTGATTTCATTCACAACACTTGAAATCTGTGTTTGCTCTTTCTTGAAAATCTTTTAGTATAGTATTAACCTTTTTAGATAAATCTTTCACAACAATGATAACGAAATCAACTTTGGTATTAGTTGCCTCAATTAATTCCTTTTGAGCTTCAAAAGTTTTTGCATTCTCAGAAGTCAAAGACTACATGATTGCTTTATGAGTAGCCACCACATTCTTAAAATTTGTTGTTGAGAAGGTACCAACATGGAAAAGCAAATTATTCAACTCTTTATTCAATATACAATACTTACCATGAGTTAATGGAGTATTAGGATCAACATCATCGTTACTGTCCTCTTCAAATAAGAAAGAAGCAGTTGGTGGTGGCATAAAATATTGAAAAGAGCCAGTAATCTCTTGATCTGAATCTTCAAGAACCATAAAATCAACATGTGAATCTAAAGGAGAAGTTACTGATGGGTTTTGGTCATAAGACATCCTATGTGCTCATACAAACCCTAATGCTTGGATCTAGGTTTCTCTATTGTACATGCTTTGAATCCAAGACTATAAACCCTAATTCTAGCATACATATAATCATATTAACATGAGAATAAGTTTATAGTGTTACCTTGATTGTTATGTAGCAATAACAATCCCAAATCTCCTTGTATTGACTTTGGAAGGCTTAGAGTCACAAGTGTCACTCCTCTAATGGCTCACAAACACCATAAGCAAGTGGAGAAGGTATAAGAGAGAGTGAGAGGTTAGAATTCGTATCTAGGACCTCTTGGGAAGGGATACACGAATTCATGACCCTAGGGGTGTTTATATAGGTGTAGAGATAGGGTTTCAGTCATTATCCTTATCTAGTTGATTATCCATTAAGCAACCAATAAGATAATCCTTGAATCCTTATCATACTCGAATTCTAAGGGATTTACACCTCAAATTCGTTCACCATATATATAAGATAATCCTTACCTTATTTTGTAACTATCACATAATTACAATTCAGCCCCTCTAGTTTAATTAATTACATTTGATCACAAAACTAATTCTTAATTAATTATTGACCAATATTAATTAAACAAATATGATTTCTCCTTTAATATATTATTCTTATAACATATTAATAAATCATATTATCCTCTCTCTCTTTATTCATTTCTCCAATCAAGTTGCTTTGGTGAAGGCAACCCAAAAGGACCATGCACCATCGGGTCAAGTACATACCAAAATAGTTATGGACTTAGACACTAATCCAACAGTCTCCCACTTGGATAAGTCTAACAACTATTCTGCGTATGACTTCAGATCCTGATCTGCAATCGTAGCTTTCCAAAGCCGCTGTCAACTCTGATCATATCAGATACGCGTGTCCTTAGATAAGGGATCATATATTCCTCCATTCTAGATATCGTATGAGATATGATTTCAAATCATTCTCTTTGTACTACTTCTCGATTTCCGATTTATGACGACAGACTAATTGAACAAATCAAATTAGCCCTAGCCCGGCCGAGCATTTACGTATGTCATCACTAAACCATCGAGGGGCCCAAAGATATCGCTTTTATCCTACTTTGGATAAAAGGAACGGATAAACTTTGATACAATGCTCGCTTGCACTCACTCACCGAATTACACACAACAATATGTTTTATAACACCAAGTTACTGGTGCGTTTACATATTATCAATGTGCAACCGATTCGCAAGATACAACTCACACATCTCGGTTTCAAGAATATAAGATGTTATCGTCTCACCAATCACTCGTAATACAATTCATGGAGTGATCCAAGTGAGCGTGGGTTTAATCCAATGCTCAAATCATATTCATAAGCACTCATGAACGTTGCAGCAAACATTTGCTTATGTCTAATACTCTTCTAGACAATCCACACACCAATTCACGACAGTCTTCATTCATATCTACTTCCAACATATGAACGACTGTGGCCCGTTTGAATAATTCGATTATTCTTAATAAACTCAATTATTCTGGAAGTCAAAACATGCAAGGTGAAACACAAGAATAATACTAATCCCATATGGCCTCAAACCTTTGAGTATAAACAAAACACGTTTTATTTATCACCATATCGATTACTCATTATTTGTCGTTTCGGGTAATCAACTTCGCATTTGAATTCCAACACTTGTCCCATGCTCCTAGCATGCACACAATGTTTACCTATGGTTCTTACTTTTGCGAAATAGACAAATTGAACACATTTCCAATCATTCTCATTTTACAACACCAAATCCATTTTCTTAAGTGTAAGAATATCAAATTCTTGTTACTTATAGAATATACTAGATTCTAACACTTTATGCAACGATCCTTTTGTAATGTCACTGCACCAAAGTCTCAAAGACTATTGCCAATGATATTACAAATTCCTCTATCGGAGATTGTTACAAGACAATTCCTTAGATATGATGTCTCTCACTCAAAGTACATTCCTTTGAACATCCTTTCGCATAAAGTTTCTAATCTAGACATAGATTTTACTTCCCAACATGGACACACTTCCATATTTTCTATATGACAACTCATTCTTAATAGAATCTTATCTATTCGTAATGATGTCGATATCGTCCATCCAATATGGAAACACTTCCATAATTTCCAATACTATACTTCCAACTACTCGCAAGCGACCAATCCTCGTCGAACTTTGGATTGTCCTTTGATAGTTGTTTAATTATTTTAGTCAAAACCAATTCTAGTCCCTTTTCCCTCTAAATGCACTATACATTTGGAAAATTTTAGAATGGTCAAACATTAAAGCATTCGCAATCGATCCTATACCCGAAGCGTATGGGACACGACGCATAATGTTTTATTTGCTATGTTCTCAAAACTCGAATTGCGAAGAGGAATGCCGTAATCACAATCGAAATTTTAAGAACACACTATGTACCTTTGACTAAATTTATTAACATTCCACAACCTAATCCTTTAGATTTGAAATGAAGCATAATATTCTCTCCCTTAATTATAGCAAAACAACCTTTCAACTCTTACAACTTTGCAAAGTATGACTCTTGTTTTCTATAATTAATATTGCCAACTATGCAATACGTGCCTTAATAATCATACAATCATAACATTTATGCTCCCACTATCATGATGATTATTATAAAACATAACACTTATGCTCCCACTAGCTTCGACATGTATTCATAAACATCTTAACTTTCAGAAAAACAATACTTATTGAATTTCTTAAGTTCATGTTTCTAATACTTAGTGCTTTGATAATCTTTTATCAAGGCTTCTTGAACTTATACACTTTTGCCTTCATATGTGTGTCTTAACAATTAAGACTAATTGCCAAACCTCACAATTCAAATTATGGAAAGGGATGCCGTAACCATGATCGAATTTGAGAATGCAATTTTACAATCACTATCTTTTAAAATCTTTCTTAGTGAAAGCATTTTCTCACAATCATTTTCATGAAGGAGGAAATCTTATGACACTTAGATTTAAACGGTGTATGTGTTCCTATCCATGCGAATTTGTTAAAACCAAAGTTTACGACAAATTCAAACTCATATGGATCGAACTTTCTTAATCTTGATTTCTTGCCTTATGGTAGCACAGCTGCCCACCACGTCTTCCAAGTAGTTAAGCATCTTACCTTTTTCCTATCAATGTACCTTTCATTGATCAAGGTCCTTGCCTTTTACGCATTCAAATGAGAACTCATAGGACTCACATGCATAATTAACTCGATTGGATTGGCACAGAAACAAAATAATGTCTTTACGATAGGTTGTAAACCTCAACTCGTGTGCTAGTGATGATCGATAAGGTTTATTTGATTTGTTCTTGAAACTTTTCGAGACCATTAAGACTCCCACTGACTCCTTGACATATAAGATTCTTTTGTCAATAAACATTTCTTGACAAACAAATTTTCAAGAGTTAGTGTAGCTTGTATCAAAACACTTCATAAATTGGTCATAGTTGGTCTTTGTCTTATCCAAGACATCACAACTTTCCACATTTGATGAATGTTATAAACCTTTAATACTTTTTACTCATTGTCACAATCTTAACTTTAAGACTTGTTATTGGAACAAAGTATGATTGTCTTCTTGATTTGACCATTTCATCAATCTTTGATTCCTCTTCTTGGACATACAATTGTACCAAGACTCACTTAGAGGATCAATTGAGATATGGTTCTTAATCATTAAGACCTATCATAAAGCATAAAAGCCACTCTCCCTTCTTCTTAGAATGGAGAAACTCTTATCTTTCTGCCTATTTGATTCTTCTTATTCGTTTTGCTATTGATCTAAACCCTTTAATCAATTCAAAATTACACTTAATCTTGTAAGTATAATCATATTTACTAAACCTTTAGTAAATGATGACGAATATCTTTGTTACTCTTATGGTGAACTTGATCAACACACAACTTTGTGTACTCGATCTCCTAGTCCTTCACTTGACACTTTGTCAACGAATTAGTCTAATTATCAAATATGAAATTTCTCATTCATCATGCAACCAAGTTGCATGATTCCAAGTTTCTGTCCAATTGAAACTTGGGCGATGAGAAACTCTCCCTATTTGGTAAATTCTTGACTTTCCATAACACAATAAGAAACAAATCCATTATTGCTAATAATTTTAACATCAATTTTTCATACACGCCATTGTAAGGATAAATAAATAAAATTTAAAATCAAAATTTATTTTATTGCGGAAAAATTTGTCCTTCACAATGCAACTCATTGAAAAACTTATGCGAATACATCTTTCTTAGCAATCTAATTCTAACTCTAAGTAGTAGCTCAAGAATCTAATCTTCGAGAAACGCAATCGAAATCCATTCCTTCACGGTTAGATTCTGCTCACTTCTTCCCTTAAGCTTCTTTTCTTTTCTTTGATCCTTCTAAACATCAATTGTAATCTTATCACATTATGTATTCAGAACCTAGAATGAAGCTTAAAAGAGTTAGTCAATGGATTTTACCTAAATTAGAGCCATACGTTTCGACTCTCCCATCTCTTAGATCTCTTAGGTAAATAGGGCAGCTTCGTCTCCAATGCCCCTTCTCTTGGCAATAAAAGCAAATTGACTCTTTTTGGAACAACACATGGAACTACTTCAGACATCGCCTTTCTCTTATGATCAAACTTTTCGATCATTGCATGTCTTTCATTGCCATTGTCTATATCCACAGAGGTCTCGAAGGCAGATTCACCAATCAACTTTGCTTTTCTATTGCGCCAAACCATTGCTGATTCAGCAGCAATAAGCATATAGGTGAGATCTATAAGGGTCACGTCGCGGTTCATCATATAGTACTCTCTTACGAACTCACTATATGAGTTAGGAAGTGATTGAAGAACCCAATCAACAGCCATCTCTTCACCGACAATGGATCCTATCATTCTTAGTCTATCAATGT